AGAAGGATTGTAACAGTTTGCTTGGGCCCAGTTTATTTATTTTTTTTAAAGATTTTATTTATTTATTTGACAGAGAGAGAGAGAGAGCACAAGAGCAGGAACACAAGCAGGGAGAGTGGAAGAGGAAGAAGCAGGCTTCCTGCCAAGCAGGGAGCCTGATATGGGACTTGATCCCAGGACCCTGGGATCATGACCTGAGCCGAAGGCAGACACTTAACGACTGAGCCACCCAGGCACCCTGCTTGGGCCCAGTTTAATTGATCTCCTTTATGAATTTATTTTAGGAAAAGATAACTCTAGAATTTACCTACTTATTATGCACGAGACCCGCCCTAGAGATTTCATACCTGTTGACTCAGTAGTTATTAAGATAATAGAGGTGAAAGAAATCATCAAGGTTTCTAGAGATTTGTTAAACAAGCTATTGGGACTCTGGCACATCCTCAGTATCTGCTTCTCAGCTCCTGTGGACTTTCTTTCATGCAAGAATGTGGGCCTAGGATTGCCAGATCTTCTTCTTTTTTCAAGAGGAACAAGAAATTAGAATTTTTATGTCAAGTCTCCTTGCTTGTTTGGCTGGTTCAAGATAAAAAAAAAAAAAAATTATGCATGAACCAAACAAGACATTTCTACAAGCCTGCCTCGATTATCTGACTTCTGGTTAGGACCTCTGATCTAGCCTTATCTCCCTGAATATGAGACCCAGATTGGTTATGTAGGGTGCCTACACTCAGTGGCTCGCTTGTAGCAGAACAGTGTTAATCCCTAGTAATGGGGTTGTACCCCATGGAAATTGTACCCCACTTCATGCCTTTGCAAGGCACAAGGTGACCCAGTAGGAGCACTTAGGCCATGGAGAATGGGTGAGATCACAAACAACAGGGAAGATACACTCATGGGCCTTTCTAGCTCTAACCTTCTATGAGAAACCATGCCAAACCCAGGCAATGTTTTCCGAAATCTAGAAAAAAAAAATTGTAGCTCTGTGTGGTGATGGATGTTAATGAAACTTATTGTGGTGATCATTTTGCAATATATACAAATATCAAATCATTATGTTGTACCCCTAAAGCTAATAAAATGTTATATGCTCATATCTCAAAATAAAAGGAAGAGGGAAGCTATCATTTGATATGACTTTCTTTTTATATGAGTTTTTATAACTGTGTTGAGTGGACTTTTTATTCTACATCTTATTTTGATGATTCCAACAGCAATGTCTATTTTGTATTGTGATGATACAAAGTTATGTATTTTAATGCATGACCATTCTTTAGGACAATAAAAAACAATCTGCCTAATATAAGGCATTCCCAGAATATGGGTTCTTTTATCTCATTAATGAAGAGTTAAAATTTAGACTGCACAGTGATATATGTTATTAGTGACCGATATACTGTGGTATTTTTGAGGGATTAATGCTTACATTTGACTGTAGCTAAAATGACTTCTAGTAATGAGATTAATTCTATCATAATCTGGGCCAATCCTGAGCCATGCAAACATAAAAATCTATACAATCCAGAGGGAGGTTTTAGGATTTTACTATATATGGGAGAAGAGTGAGAGCCTAGACACGGGTTTAAGGTTTACCTGTGACGTCAGGATGGACATGGAGGCAGGAACAGAGAGTGTGGCGTACTTGCTAGTCTTTCCATTCCCACAAAATACAAGAGGGCATCTCCTGAGTATATGAAGTACCTTCCTAGTGCTACAGACAGGATCAAAATTACAATGTACAGCAAGAACATACAAGAACATAAAATCAGTTACAGAGATGATGAGACCTAAGACATGGCTCTGCTTGCCCAGTAGCAGGGTGAAAACTGCATTTTTATCAAGAGAGGGAGTGAAATTCGAGAAGAACATTGTCATAGAAATCTTACAGCTGTGCTAGACTCTGTTCCCCTCCCTCTAGGCATTCCATTTAGACACACATTCTGCAAGACCAAACTGATCTGAGACCTGTGCAGACAATTCAAGGCATCCTGTGCAAGCCTCTGGAGAAATCTTGCCTAATTAAATCAGTGGCATAAAACAGAATGCTTAAGATTCAGGGTCCAGAAACAAATATTGTAAAACAATGCTTATTATGAAAACACTAAAATTACAAATTTAAATGCAAAATTTAGTATTATTGGACAGCATACATCGTATCCCCAAGGAAGGGATTCACTTGTTATTCTTGACACTTCCCAGGAGATAGGCAAATGGCCAAGAAAATTTAGACAAAGGGAGGTTCAATGATTTTCACAATGTAAATCTATAACTCTCATACCACTTCTACTTGCATCAAAGTAGTGCCTTCAACAGCCCAATGATTAAAATATAGATATAGATTTTGAGCAGTAATGGGATTAATGTTAGTAATAGCTTTTTACCCCATTTTGAATCATTTGATTAGATTCATGAGTTTAATATTACATTAAAATTTATAGATATATTTGAAGTGGTAATTCATAAGACTTTAATTATATAGATAGCTCACTTTGCATATTCTGTTTTGCCTCATGATCTTAAAATATACATTATTTTAAAATATGAAATACTTTTCAAGTACCTCAAAAGCTTAAAAGTTGTTGGCATAAAATATTGCTTTACGGTGATAAGGATTACTTTTCATATTATTTCGTTAACATTAATACTGCATCCATATTAGATGGGGGACCTTGGCAGTTAGTTCAGGTCTCACCCCTTTCTTGGAGCATTTCTTCTCAGGTAATGTCATATGACCCAAACAGTTGTCATCTGTTCATAGACTTCCCACAAATCTGAACCAAAAAAATTTAGGCATTTTTTTTTTATCATATACAGAACTCCATACCCCCTAACTTTGGTTTTATGTCCTTCCTGATTTTTTTCTAGTACGATCGCATGTGCATTTTCTTTCTCTAATTACAGATGCGAGGTCACAGTACACATAATATTTTCTATTTCCATTTTAATCTGTAAATTACACTGATAAATTCACATTATTAAAATTATTTTATAATATTTTTGTTTTTTAAAAAAGATTTTATTTATTTTTTTGTCAGAGAGAGCACAAGCAGGGGGAGTGGCAGGCAGAGGGAGAAGCATGCTCCCCACTGAGCAAGGAGCCCGATGTGGGACTAGATCCCAGGACCCTGGGACCATGACCTGAGCCGAAAGCAGATGCTTAACCGACTGAGCCACCCAGGCGTCCCTCTAATATCATTTTTAATGACTGAAAAATATTTTATTATGTGGATGGACTATTTAACCAATCTACTCTTACTAATTTTTTTTCTTTTTTAAAAAATAGATAAAATCCATATAGCTAAAATTTTGCGTATATTCGTAATCATTTCATTAGGATAAATTCCTAAAAGAATAATTGTCTTGTTAAAGAGAATATAAAATCGACACTGTTTTACAGAAAGGCACATTCATTACATGACCATATGCTTTATATAGAGAGAGCACCATGTCCCCAGACCCTCAACAACAAACTGTATTACTGGTATTACTATGATTATTATTATTATTGTTTGTCAGTATAATAGGAAAATGATATTCCATTGTTCTAAAATGCAATTCTTTGATGATCATTGAGGCTGAATATTTTCTTACACATTTTTGGTTATCTAAAATAAAAGAGAGACATGGGAGGGGAATTTTCTAAATGTCTATGAGTAGTCCTGCACAATTTCATTAGCTTCACTGTGCTGAGATCCCTCACTCTGGCTGTATATAAATGACAGTAAAATTATAGAAATATAATGGTTAATCAGTTCAGTGAAGGGGACAGTGCAATGTAAAACTCTGATCAAATTTCCTTTTAAAATAAAGAATATTTATAATTTAGTGAAAAATTGTGAGACTGATTTTCACAAGTAGATGCAAATGGTTTAGATGATTTCATTTTCTCTGCAAGATATAATGTGAAATATAAATCTTATTGAAACTGCGTATTTACTTTGATGAAGTGTTGCATTTTGAATATATTTAATCTTTTCAGTTTTTGTGCATTTACTTTCCTTTTTAAAAGCAACTCCATTCAAAATGTGACTTGAATTGAGAATATTTTTATCTATCCTTGATTTCCAAATTTATATTAAATGATCATTTATGTGATGATGTACAAGATGTTCCTTGAAATGTGTCTGTTAAAAGACTTAAAATGTTATTGGCAGGAAATTGGCCTTATTAAGATTTAGTCATTGCTGTGTAACAAATTACTCCAACATCTCGAAGCTCAAAACAACAAATGTTTATTATCTCACACATTTTCTGAGTATCAGGAAGCCAGGAGCAGTACGGATAGCTGGTCTGGCTTGTGGTCTCTCAAGAGACTGTAGTAACACTTGGCCAGAGCTATAGTCTCTGAATACTTGACTGGGCCTGAAGGTTCTGCTGCTAAGGTCGCTCACATGGTTGGCAGACCTTATTTCCTCACCAAATGAGTCTCTCAGTAGGGCTGCTCAGGACGGACATGGTCTTCTCCAGAGTGAAATTCCAGGAATAGAGTGGGATGTCAGTACCCTTGTATTAGCACTCTGATTTACATAATTTTCAAATGGCTAAGCCTAAATGCAGTTTAAAAGGACCTTCTGATTTTCTTTTTAAAACACTTCTCATCTGTATTGTTTTCTTGAACATTTAAATCAAATTCCACTGTTTATTTTAAATGAAATAAGGAAACTTAAGTATGTGATTTAAAAAAAAAGTCTAATCATTTTCTTATGTATGAATCCTCTTTCTTGCAGGTACTTAGCTCTAATGTTAAAGTTCTTAATCCCTCGTGTATTTTTTGTTTGAATAAACTTTCAGCATGGCTTCTCCTCCTCCAGAAGTTTAAAATGAGAATGATATCAATAGTAACTTTCTATCACTTGAGACCTAAGTAGGATTGATGTCACTGTCATGGGTGGGAAAGACTCTGTCATGATTTTAATATAGCCCATTTAGTCGCAAAATTGCCTTTCATTGTTTTAAAACAGTAGAGACATAACTGATTGTATAACCTTATTTTATTCTAGGTCACCTAAAAACCCAGAACAGAAGATCATTAAAAGAGTGATTGCTCTTGAAGGAGATATTGTAAAGTGAGTACTGAAACTGTTGTTTTTGAGTTCAAGTTATAAATTCTGGAATTTTGTTGAGTTTTAAATCATATCACTTGGGAAGTACCACTCAATTCGGAAGACCAAAGCTTTGGAGACATCCCAAATGAACTGGTACTTCTTCAGTGAGCATCATCAACCATTTCACGATGTAAGGCATACATAACTTCTTGATTATATTATTATCTTTTATCTGTGAGGCATAGGAGAAATAAATATTAACTGAAGTTAACCACTAAATAATTAAACTGACCACTAAATAATTATTTTTTTGAATATTAAAATTAGCATGATTGTTTTAGATTATGGTATCATTATGATATCAAGGTTTATTGTAGATAAATTCATGAACATCTTATTATTTTAGAAGCAAATACAGAAATTAAGTGGCAGCTTTTATACACATGTACTCACAACCCTGAGATCATGATCTGAGCTGAAACCAAGAGTTGGGTGCTTAACCCAACTGTGCCATCCCGGCGCCCCAGTATTCAGAAAATTTTCAGATCCTGTTGCCAAAAACTTAATCCTAAAATGTCTGTATTAGTGACCCTATAGATTAAACAATCTCATTAAAATGAATCTCAGTTGGTTTTAGGGCAGAATCAAGGCCAGCAGTTCTCAAAGGATGGCCAGAGGGTCGCTGGACATTCCCAAGACCCTTTGAGGGGGTCAGTGAGATCAGAACTACTTTCCTAATACTAAGATGCTGTTTGCCTTTTTCACTCTTATTTTCTCTCAAGTGTACAGTGGAGTTTTCCAGAGGATATGTGATGTGTACTATGGCATCAGATTAAATGCAGGAGCAGATATTGGAATATGGCTGTCTCCTATTCAGCCAAACACTAAACGGATTGGCAAAAAAAAATCCCACTCATCTCACTATTTTTTCTTTTGTTTTGGAAAATAATTATACTTTTCATTAAACATATTTGTGTGTGTGTTAACATATAGGTTTATTATTATTTTAGATTGAATCTATAAATATTTTTTAATTCACCATTTTAATTTCCCATATGGTAAATATTGACAGAGTATATTTTCTAATGTGGTAAATATTGACAAACAGTTCTTTGAGAGCCTCAGTTATTTTTAAGAGTATAAAGGAGCCTTCACACCAAACAGTGTGAGAACTTGCTGATATGGGAATGAATGGCAAAAATTTTCATGTCATGATTATCTGTTCATGAGTAGTCTGTGTGGTATGAATGGAGGTATTGCGGGATGGTTTGAATGGTTTATATTTATGAATATTTGTGCAATCTTTCTTTGTTTTAAAAAGCTTTATTGAGGTAAAATTTATATACTACACAACTCACCCCATTTTAAATATACAGTGTAACGAGTTTCATTATAAGTATACACAATTGTGCAAGCCTCACCACAATCTAGTTTTTGAACACTTCCATTACCTTCAAAAGTTCCCTCCTCCCATTTGCCCTTAACTGAGGCTCCCACCAGTCCCAATGGCCAGTCCCAGGCAACCAGGAATCTGCTTTCTGTCCTCATAGTTTAGCCTTTCCTAAAAAAATGTATTTAGATGGTATTATACAATATGTAGTCTTTTATACCTGTGTTTTCTCCCTCACATATCAGAATGTTTTTTTAGTCCCCCATGTATGTATATCTGTAGTTTGTTTCCTTTTTATGGTTGAGTATATTCCATTGTATGGACCTACCACATTTTGTACGTTCATTTACGAGCTAATGAACATTAGGATTTTTCCAGTTTGGGGATATTATGAGTAGAGATATGGGCATTTGTATCAATGCTATGGACGTGTGTGTCTTTGGGTGAAAATACGTTTTTATTTCTACTGAGATGTATTCACACGTATCACTGTTAAAATGCCCATATACCTAAGATGCTGGCTATTATGGTGAAGTAGATGTTTACCTTTGGTAACTACCAAACTGTTTTCAAAAATGGCTATAATATTTTATGTTCTACCAGCAATGTACAAGGTTTTCAGTTTCTTTGTATCCTTGCCAACACTTGGTATTATGAAGATTTTTTTATTATAGCCATCCTCATGGGTGTAAAGTAGAATGTCGTTGTGGTTTTGATTTGCATTTCCCTGAAGGCTACTGATGTTGAGTATGTTTCCATGTGCTTACTTGCCATTGTATATTTTCTCGGGTGAAGTGTCTTTTCAATGCATTTGCTCATTTTGTACTGGCTATTTAATATTTTGAATTATAAGAGGTCCTTTGATTTTGATTCCTTAAATAGATTGGGCATTTGGGAGAGGATGAATGTGTATAATAATGTGATTTTAGTCAGGTGTAAGTGTATTCGTATCAAAGAGTTTAGTTTTTGTTACCTGTAGCATTTGTGTAGTCAATTTACAGAATTTGGCAACCGCTTTCTATTTTGAAGATGCTATCTAGTCTTCTGATTTCAGTAGGAAACTGGGAAGAGCAATAAATTTGGAAAACTATTTGATATTCTTCCATAAATATCCAAAATATGTTTTTAATATTTGGAAAACAGTTTGTGTGGATATGATGCAAATCCCATTCAAGGAATGAGTCAGCAAACCTTGAATACGTTATATTAAATGATTGAAGCCAGTCACAAAAAACCATATAGCATTTGACTCTATTTATGGTATATGAAATGTCCAGAATAGGCAAATTCATAGAGGCAAAAAATAGATTAGGGGTTCCCAGGGGCATAAAAAAGGGGAATGAGAGATATGGGTACAATGTTTTTTTTAATTTTTATTTGTTTGTTTGTTTTTGGTAAAGGGCGTAAAACATTCTAAAATAAATTGTGATAGTCGCACATCTCCATGAATATATTAAAAACAATGAATTGTACATTTTAAATGGGTCAATTATATGTTATATAAATTACATCTCCATAAAGCTATTAAAAAAAAAGAATTGGTCAACAAAGGGAGCAAAAATTTTATCTATGTCAAATAATCTAACAAGATTAGGAATGTCAAGTGATTCATTTTACATTATAATCCAAAGAGAACACAGCTTTAATTCAGATGTATCATTAGTGGTCACCAGCTGAAGAGTCAACAATGTGAGATTATAAAACTTGGTCAGACATAAAAAAACTCTTGTGTAATTAGAAATCCTACAACAGACCTCCCCAAGGAAAAACCTGGGTTGTTGCTTTCGTCAGTAAGTATAAATACTGTATTGGTTTCACAGAGGGCCTGAGCTAGAATGAGGGTTATTGGTGCAGTGTTGGGAGATGAGGGGAAGGGAGTTGGAGATGTAAGAGATTTATACCTCCCCCCCGCCCACTGCTGCAACCCACTTGGGGAAGGGCTGGCTTCTTTGTTCTAACCCTGAAACTTAACACTTTGGATATATGGCCCTTTGTGTCCACCTTCACTACAGCTCTATCATGAAGCAATAAGTAACATAAGGATGAAAGTATCAAGGCTCAAGACTTTCTCAGTATGTAGCCTCTAAAAACTTTTTGATAATTGATTAGAAAAAACTTTTTTTTGTATTTAGTGTTTTAAAAGAAAATTTAAAATTTTATTCCTCTGAATAAAATAGGTACTTAAAAATTTTAGGCTTCCTGGGCTTTAAATTAATAATTGGATATATTCCTTTATTTATTTATTTATTTTTAAGATTTTATTTATATATATGAGCGAGAGAGAGATCACAAGCAGGGGTGAGGGGTAGAGGGAGAAGCAGACTCCCTGCTGAGCAGGGAGCCCGATGCAGGACTCAATCACAGGGCCCTGGGATCATGACCCGAGCCGAAGGCAGACGCTTAACCAACTGAGCCACCCAGGCACCGTATAATTGGATATATTCCTATAATAATTTTCTAACAGTGTTGAAAAACATTAAGAGGTATTAGGTAGTACAGTATTATTTACTGATGTGCTTACCTCTTTTAGTCTATGACCCATTTTTTTTAATGCCAGAACATATAAAAAACAAATTTAAAAATATGCTGTCTTTCTTCACCAGAAGTCATTTTGTCTATTGGTATCCTAATTTGTAGTAGACAACGTGCTTTGGTCTGTGATGTGGCCTTTCCATTCCCAGTCTTACCTTGGATGATACTTGATTACTTAGTAGGCAAGCTAAACTGAAATACACATCACCAGAACTTTTCTTTTTTTTTTTTTTGGAAAGAACTTGATATTTCATAAAATGATCAAAGAAAAAAATCTGACTTATTAGGACTCAGTTACCCTTTTTGTGGGTTTTGTAGTATTTTTATTGTGAATTACACATAATTAGAGGGTAGAGAGGAAACAATTATCTTTTCAGAGCTAAGCACTTTCAAGGCTTAATCTAATTCTCAATCTAATGTTCCGTTAGTTATAAAAAAACAGATATGTAGTAAAATATAGTTTAAAGAGCACTTATTTTAAAGATAATTCAGCAGATGGTTGACTCATATTATGTTTCTACCTGGGGAAAGAAGTGTGGCGAAAGCCAAGGATCAGCCTCGCCTCACCGAAGACTAGAAACGGTACTACAGCTGGACTTCTGGTTTCTGTGCACCTGCATCCTCTCTCCTTGTTTTTGCCTGTCTTGCTTGTGTTCCCATTGGCTTTTGCCGCATTGCCAACTGCTGACTTCCTTGGGTGTGCCTCTTGTTTAAACTACCTGAGAGAAATCCGAGTGTGTTGCTTTGAGGTACAGAACTAGGATACGTCCACCTGACAGGTCACTGGTCAATCCACTCATCAGCCGCCTTTGGGGTGGGTGCCCTTCCTTGGTCTGGCTGGTTGTGGTTGTGTAGGCCAGCCACCTAGTACAGACCCCGCAGCTCTAAGGAACCTCTTGGAAGGGGCTTGCACATCTAGCAGATACTGTGAGGCCTCCCAAATTGGGGCTTTGTAGTCAGCACTCACTTCGCTTAGCATCACCCTTTGAAGCCTCATGTTCAATAAAACTATAATCTGTTCTCCTTGGTAATTGCTTTGACCTTGCCCTCTGGGGAGGATTTATTTATTTGTTTGTTTGTTTGTTTATTTATTTATTTA